AATGGAAAGCCTAGTAACTAAACACACAGATAGCAACTATTTTTGTGGCCTTGTGTGCTTCTGGTACTGCTTACTTATGTACAAAACAGCTCTTGGTTTGCACTTCGTGGAGTAGCCATAACGTCTCAGTTTCCGCCACACCTGGCGTTGTTACCTTTATTCCTACGCCTTGTTTACTTGTAATCTGGCACTTGGCACCAGTTTTGTTGTGATAACACTGGTTCCTGTACTTTCTGACACATTTTAGACAACCGTGATTTATCAACCTAACTACTAATCGTGCAGCTAACATAGCCCTGTCACTGCACCGTTTGAATAAAGTCATCCCTAATGTTGTTGATTAGCTGTTTTATCGGTTGGTTCAATCAATTAGATAGTTCCATGGCCAGTTGATAAAATTTTTAACGAATTTTTTTCTTTTGTCGACTTGCTTAGTATCACTTTGCTTGTGGGTCAACATGCCATATCTTGTAACGTTCAAAAGATGAGAATAAATATTCGCTAGATTTCCTTTTTCCATAAAAGAGACAGGAAAGAAAGCAAATGTCTTATACAGACTTTCGGGATTATGTTCATGTTTTTTTAATCTCTCAAAGCAGACGGACATTTGTCCTACGACGGGTCTACATGTATGTTCAGAACATGTCGTGCTGAACGCCATCCACACACGGATATAGCGTTACGCTTCTGTCCCTGGCGGTGAATGTTGTCTAAACTCTGTGAACGGTTTGTGACTAATTGGATACTACAGGACATCTCTCCAAAGCTTGACCCCGCCAGTTTGGTAGCAGGAGGCATAGATCGACAACACACGCGCTTGTCAACTTGGTGGACTTCTTGTACAAATCCACTTCACTGTCAAAATCGATCTGTACACTTGTTACCACCGATCTGTCTAAGGCTTTTGACAAAGTCGATCACACAACTGCTATTCGATCCCTACTTGACCTTGGTGTTCGCCCGGCTGTGATCCCGTGGATTTGCAACTTTATGACTGACCGACGGCAGCGTGTGATCTACCAGGGCGCATCCTCAGACTGGCTCAACCTCAGCTGTGGCGTAGCACAAGGAACTATACTTGGACCAGTCATCTTTATGGCGTTGATTGATGGAGCTCTGCGTGACGTGGCTAACCGATGGAAGTACGTGGATGATATGAACATTGCAGATGTTCGCTTGATACGTCAACCATGTACACTCCAACTTACTCTTGATAACCTGAGCACATGGGTTAGCGACCACAAGATGGCTTTGAACCCGAAGAAATGCAAAGTGCTACAGATCTGTTTCGCTAAGGTTCCTCCCCCACCTGAACCACTGATCATCAGTGAACAGACCCTGGAAACCGTGACATGCATCAAGGTTCTCGGCCTGACGATTCAAAACAATCTGAAATGGGACCAGCAAGTGGACAGTATGGTGAAATCCTCAAATAGGAGACTCTACATGGTACGGAGGCTGAAAAGATTCGGTGTGTCAGTTCCTGACCTGGTGTCTGTCTACACCGTGTACGTGCGCCCTTTACTGGAATACGCAGTGCCCGTGTGGCATCCGGCCTTGACCACTAAACAATCTAAGACCCTAGAACGGATCCAGACGAGGGCCTGTAAAATCATCTTGGGATCACAGTATTCGAGCTATAACATGGCACTGACAACCCTGAACCTCAGCTCCCTTGCTGACCGACGTCGTGAACTTTGTAGGGCATTTGCAGAATCCCTGCTGAACTCTGAGTTCCGTGATTGGTTGCCCCCGCTGAGACAGAACATTTCCGGTAGAAGTACACGTAATGCTAATAAATTTGATGTTCCACTCTGTCGGTCTGCTCGTCACAAGAACTCACCAATTCCTTTTTTAGTTGAACTGTTAAATGCCAAGTAATGAATATAGTACATGCGCTCAGACTTCACTTATCTGTCGTGTCTGCAGTACCTTATACACTGAGTGACACAGCGGCACAGACGTCTTCTCTTCTGTGTTTTATGATATATTTTAATTTGTAATGTTATGTAATGTATTATATTTGTAAATGAAAGCGCATTTTACTTAAGATGATTGTCTGTAATCTTATTAACGTTTCCCGAATATTGTAATGAGCAACACAAGTCAGACTTAAGTCTGCGAGTTGTTTAATAAAGACTGAATTGAATTGAATTGAACACCATTCACACAAAGGTAAACACCTCTGTCCTTAATGCTGAAAAACATCCACGCAAAGGCAAACGCACCTGTCCTTGGTGCTGAACACCATCCGCACAGTACACACGTGGAAAATTCAATCTCTGTTATGAAAGAAAAGGTTGACGATGATCGGCTCTGTCGTAACTTCGCCAAAATCCCTTCACGTACCCAAACGCGCGTGCACGCACGCACACACGCACACACACAAACAAACAAACAAACACATACAAACAAACACACACACAGACACGATCGTGTGACGAATGTGGCAGCGCCTTAGCCCGTTCGGTCGTTCAGTCTTGATGTGAAAAGCGTGGGTAACGACAGGTGTTCCTGACAGACATGAGTACAAACACTGGCTGTTGGGCTGGACATGTGTAACCGCTGTGTGTGAGGGAGGTGACAGGTGTACCGTTAGGAAATCATTGTATTTTTCTTCTGATAAAAGATATATTAAAGAATATTTGTGAGCAAAACATATATTCTGACTTCTAAATGTTAAAAAAATTGTTGTTACATGTCTGACCTTGAGGATATTCCCCTCAGTCCGAAACACCTTTCCTTTGAATTTACCAACCTAACAAGGTCAAGTGTTTGTCCTGGGTTAATATTATCAAAGCCCGTTGGGACACGAGTTAGACACCTTGTCATTTCGAGCTTTCATTTAACATTGCGTGCAAACCTGCTTTTACCATAGAATACAGCCCACTTCCGACGTTTACTTCAATTTTACGATCAACTTAAACATTGGTTTACTTCGCCATTGAACCCATAGGATAGTCCAAGATGTCTGCAAGGAAAGTTGTGGCCTTGCTTGTGACATTTGTACTGTATCTCCTCCTTGGAGGAGGTGTTTTCCACTTGTTGGAAGAAGCTGAGGAGACACGGCTGCGAGAAGAGGTTTTTACTCTGCAGGAAACGTTGTCAAGTAACGCGAGTGAGGAGGCGTTAGCGGGCCTCTGTATCACCGACAACACCAGCGACGATTCACACGGAAGTGCCTGTTGTGTCCCGCAAGAAAACATTCGACAGATTCTAGAAATCATCGAGGTCACTGTGATCTGGAAGCTGGCTAACCTGAGTGAAAACAACGGCACCTGTGTCCATTTAGAACACATCCCCATGGTCGTTCTCTCTCTGGACGAGATAAACACTATTGTGGACGTCGTTTCTCTAGCGATAGATCGAGGCCTGGATCCGAGGAGCACGCCGGAGAATAACTCTCCGCCGCGATGGAGCTTTTGGGGAGCGGTCCAGTTCAGTGTGACGCTCCTGACCACCATTGGATACGGCAGCATGGCGCCGTCAACTGCGGGAGGACGGGCGTTCTGCGTCCTGTACGGACTTTTCGGCATTCCCCTGACAGCGGTTCTTCTAGGGAAGGTAGCTCACGGGTTAGGCGGCGTGGCCATACGCCTCACTAACAAAATCAACCGGTTTAAACCCTCCTGGAATAACGAGACCGTAAGTACGATTGTTACGGCAACCTTTGTAGTCGTTGGTTTGGCCATTTTCGTCCTCCTCCCCGCTCTAACGGTGTCGATCATAGAGGAATGGGTCTACCTGGACGCTCTGTACTTCATGTTCGTGTCTCTCAGCACCATCGGGTTTGGAGACTATCTTCTAGGTGAGAGAAGAGACATCAACTACTCGATCGTCTACACGCTGTTGCTAACGCTGTGGATTCTTTTCGGACTCGCATTTCTGGCCCTGATCTTCGACGTGATCACCAGAGGTATCGAAAAGGTGGGTGAGGATAAAGTTGAGGACCAGCAGATGGTTGAGGAGAGCACAGGCGACAACGACAAGCCCGAGGGAGACTGTGAGGTCCAAACGGTTACAGGCAGCGTGGAAAGCGTCAGCAGCCACACTACGACTACCTCTCTGTAAACACCATGAAAGAAGGCACATGTCACTCGGACGAAAGCGTGAATATTTCACTGAAACCCAACTCATTGGTCACCGCAGGCAAATCGACGAAAAATTGCAAGACCGTTTTGCAATGGATCCGTCTAAATATTTTAACTACTGGAGCATGAGTTCAGTCTGCTACGGTCTCAATGCTAGAAGGGAAGATCACTGTTACAATTCCCCACATGGTTTTGACAGTACATGTATCTTCTATGCAAGCAGGCTGTACTGCACGTTGTGGTCGCCTTTTGCGGGCAGGTTCGACAGGAAATTAAAGCTCCATCGAGCCCTCACTACATATCATTCACCACGGCACTAGTAATTGAAAAGCGGTGTAAGATAGAAACATTGTCAAAATTATGGCGGTCAGCGCCTGCATGTTTTGAAAGTGAGATGAAGGTTTTACACAGTGCATGGTAACGATTTCATAAATGTGTAGATTGGTACTTGCATTCTTGAAAGGGCGCTACTGCCTTCTTAACGATTTCAAACCTATCTTCTGTAACGTCGGGCTCATGACTAGCGCGTTGATTGACATTTATATTTGTGTAACTGTCATGGCTATGTTTAATGGTTGGTTATCTAAGCTTGCTTTAGCACTGTGGGTTTATAGAACTCGGTGTATATGATAACATCATAAAATGGGTAAATGCTGTATACAGTGTGTAACGTGTCTATACTTGTGATGTATGTTGCTGTTTGTGTTTTAACGATACCAGTGAATTACTGAAGGGGGCGTTCCTGCTTGGTAGTAACAACCAAAACTATATATCATCATTGACTTATTAAACCGCTGACAAGGCGTTTAAGATTGCAGGGAGATTGTCATGTTCTTTGGTTAGAGTTATCGAGGTAGGGGTGGGTAGGGGTTGTATGATCCTTTTCCTAGGTCACTGATCCTGATATCTTCTCGTTTTACAAAAGAAGAAATGTAAACAAAGTGGTAGAAAGTAGAAAATAATTGGTGAGTTAAAGCAGAATGGTCTGTGAAGAAAATTGACGGAACATGAAACAGGCAAGAATGAGAAAGATTGATACAAATTGTTGCGATGTGCGTGAACGAATGGTTGTTGTACACATTGACAAAATAAGATAAAGCTTCAATACTAAAAATACGTGCTACAGCACAAGCATGGGTCATTTTTGCGCATTGAAAATTGCAAGGATTTTAATACGACCACAGTGTACTATGTTATATATATCATGCTTTTGGTTGCATTTTCCGTTCCCATATATGGTCATACTATCTGATGTATACATTGCGGTGACGCGTAGATATTGATCCGCGATGGCTTAAACTTTGACACAAAGTAAACTCGTGTTGAAAGGCCCTCTCAACAAGATTTGTCATGTTCCCCTGCGCACGGACAATAGCCGCTTTAATATATACAGGGACAGCTGAGGGTTTGTCTGGGGATCGTCTCAAATGATCGATCTTTACTTGTAAACAGTTCAATCATGGAGCATGTGGAATATGTCGGTTGTGTCTCGAAGCCAATTGACCTTGACATCTACTGCACGATACCATCTGTACTGAATCAAGCCCTAGTTCCTGCAGAGTCTAATTGAAAGGCATTGTTAGGATGTAGGATGGTAGGTCTCGTCATGACAATGTGGTCTGGACGTTCCAGACGCCTGTTTGCAGTGGTCAGTGGCGCAAGGGTCCGCGTGGGCCGGACGGTTGTCCAACCCGACCTGTGGTGAGTAGCATGTCAGGTATGTCGCCCCCGCCACCTCGGCATGCCATGACCGCAGCAAAACGCGGAGATAGAATAAATTGCACAAAAATCCTATCATTCAGTGGACATTATATGATCATTGTACACATTGCCGGTTTGTGATTTATGTGTTTGTGAGTTTGTATTGGTGGCTGATCGAAATGCTTTGGGGTTCATGTATGGAATATTTTCTTTGTTCCTTTTTTCCTTCTGCTGCCCTCCCTGCGGTGGTGATGTCATAACAAACACTCACCTGCTATTAGGCCGGATTCACAACAATAGTGTTGCACACAAAGAAAGACTGAAACTGTGAGGCCGGACCGCGCGCGAAGCAAACATCTGTTTTCTGCCGGGTTCCCGTTTCAGTGCACTGGGAATGGACAAGGAAAGGAAAAGAGATTCTTGGGCCGGTGGGTCGGACCTGCCCTCCGTTAGGAGAAAGACCACCATGGACACGTTTCGAGCCGAGCCGGTTTGGACCGAGGACACCTGTGATGTTTACGGAAGCTATCAGTACGTACGAAGGGGTCCGCCGGCGGGCGATCCCCACACGGAGCATCGTTATCGAAAACCAAAATTTGCCGAGAGACTAGGAGAAATTTCTTCGAGACAGCGACAACCAGCTAACACACATACAGTGGCAGCAGACAGTCAAGCCCGAAGGGGGTCGTCGAGAAGCCATCCCCATAATTACCAGGTTCCGACTGCAGATGTACCCGTGTCTGGCCTTTCTGAGTCAGCGGAGCCCCGCAGTCACCACGCCGTGTCTGCGGAGACAACCACCGACCCCTGCTACGCCACCTACGATCCTTCAAGAGGTGATTTCCATCGAAGACACACGGCTCATTCTAAAACTAGCAGCCAAGACTCCGGAGTGGATTCCAACCAAGACGATGCGGAACTAAGTAGCCCATTTCACCGAAGGCACACCGTCCCCGTTCCGGAGGGTTCCATACAGCCGATAGACGCAGACAAGTTTCAGGACAAAGAGGACCTTGAGAGACTTAACGCTCGCTTGTCTGAAAGGATCCGCCTCTTGGAAGACAGGAATAGAGTCTTACAGACCCATCTCCAAGACACGGCGGTAGACGGAGAAGACATCTCTCACATGTTTGACAGTTGGGAGGAAGGCGAACAGAGGGTGAAATTTAGCACCTTGAAGAGGGGAAGACTCATGCCCGAAGTCAGGGAAAGTTTGGAATTAACCATAAGCAGGTGGGAAGCAGCCGCACAGGAGTACAAAACGAGGTAAGAATCCTGACATTATGTGTTCCATTCACTTGTATATGAGAGAGCCGGGGGCGGTTTTACAGCTTACATGTTTATCCGCTCATTATCTCAGGGGAAGACAGGCATTACTCATCACAACCAAAGTGCCTTTTGTTGGGTAGGTTTATACTGCTTTTTAATTTCGTTGCCGCTTAAAGTAAGGATAATGTAAACCTGCCTTTATATCATCCAACGTGTCCCGCTTTTAAGAGGCCGTCACGCAGCAGAAAGAAGCTAGCCCAGTGGGTCTGTTAGCTCTAAAAGGGCATCACATGGTGTTCCCAGGTCAACGGAGCTCGCTGTCAATTTAGGGTAGATTTTCAGGCGGAAATATGCTCGACTCCCTGGCAATTTTGAAATTCGGCGACTTTCTGCCGATCAACAAATTCTCAATCGGCCCTCTACCGTATCGTTTCAAGGACACAGTATAATGTCCTTGGTCATTTCAAAGTCAGACTTAACGATGCCACAGAACAATGTGCAGTCAGGTGGTTGCCTAGTGAAAACCACTGACGACCACGTGGGAAACTAACGTGCGTTTATTTTAAACGCTGACATCCCAGGGGCAATCTCATGTGGGCGAATGCATGACAAAAGAGGCCTCAAAGGATTTGGATCTCTGTATGGGAAGTATGTTGACGTTTTGTCATCTGACGACAGCTAGCGACCACCGTAGATGTGCATGAGATATTAGAATGATGATATACATATTTGATGTGCCATCACGGGAGTAGACACCTGCGCCTGCTCAGATAAAGATTTAGGATTGAAAACAGTGAACTGTTCCCAGATAAATACACAGAAAAACGATGGAGGCAATGTATTGTACTACAAATTATACCTGGAATTATTTTGGGGCGTGACCCTGTATATCCTTGCAGGGGCCACCTGCGAGATACATAGTCTGCAAAGAAAAACACAAAGTGAACGTGTGTACTTTTCATTAAAATCGTAAAAAGCGCCACTGGCCTTTGAAAACAATACTGCTAAAAGCTACAGCTGGCCACACAACGATAAGCCTACAGCTAATCTTCAAGTAGATGTGCGGTCCAGCACATTGTTTTACGCGTATTTTTGAGGCGTTTACCTTATACGTCTGGCTTGTTTTGACGGTCGACTCTCCAATGATGCGCGTTTCCTCGTATCGGGCTAGCGTTTTACTTCGCACCAGACATACGTTGTATTGAATACATTTTTATTTTAAAACGGTCGTATTGTTGGTCCAATGCTACAGATGGGAGGAAGAAGAAACATGTCGGAAAGAGTGCGAGTCGAAGTTATTAGAGAGAGAAAGGGACCTGTACGACTCCAGGCGGGAGACGCAGGGAGCGCAGCTGAAAGTACGACGTCTGCAGGACACGGTGCAGAACTTTGAAGCTGAGGTGGCTAAGCTGAGGGAGGAGTTGAAGGAAGCCAGAACCCAGCTTCGTGAAGCTCTTCAACCCATTCAGAATGGGGCAGGTTAGAAGCAATTATTACGTCAGGAAAATTTTGTGTTCCTCTGAATACTCAGCCCTAGCGACACATTAGAATCCCGAGTTCTGAACACCTGGACGCTCTGGGCGGTGTTGAGTACTTATAACCATTGTGTTTTCCCATGATGTTCTAGGTGAGAACTATGACAGGTTTGCGGCGGACATGGCGGACGCTCTGCATGAGATTCGGGAGGAATACGACGTCATGGCGCAACAGAAAATCCAGGAGGCAGAAGCCTTCTACAAGTCCCAGGTGAATATGGTATCGTTTTTGTACGTTGTGTCGTTCTATTTAAAAGTACAAAACAAATTTCGTGCCCATATCATTTGTCCACATTCCCGTCATTTGCTCACGTCCCGATCGTGCCCAATAGGGGTTCAAACCTATGTCCTGAAGCGTCAGACTTTCCATTCGACTAATTTGAAAAATTGATTATAAGTGACTAACCATGTTGTAGTTAAAATGCATTCTTATTAGTGTCATTTACCTTTCAGATGGACACACTGTCCTCTACGATCAATGTCAATCATAAGAAACTGGAAGATGCCACAGCCAAGATCAGAAAACACAGGACTGAGGTAGATTCACTGAAAAAGGAGAAGCGAGAACTTAAAATCCAGGTAAGAAACACTCATTTTTAATTGGAAAATTCCTACTCAACGTTCACAATGAAGGATCGAATTTTGACAACAGAGGTGAGATGGGACTTAAATTGTCATGAAATGGGCGATTTGACTTGTTTCTACATGTATATGACGTCACTTAATGCCGCATATAGAACACGTGCTTCCGTGAGCAGTCAGCATACTAGTACATGTAGTTTATGGCGTCCCCCGTCTCGATTATTCAAACTAGTCTGAATGTCGTGGTCACTAAGTTAGCATTTTGAAAAATTCAATCCAACGCTCTACAAAGCTCAAGCAGATTAACATCCAGTTTTTTTCTGTTTTTTGTCAAGAATGAAAACATGCAAGAAAAACTTCGGGAGGCCGAAAGCAGTCGCCATGCGCAGTCGGAGAAGTACGAAGCCACCATTTCTGAACTGGAGAAAAATCTCGCGAGACTTCGTGACGAGATGATCGAGCAGCACATCAACAGCCACAACGTCAACATGGCGCTGAAAAGAGACGTTGATGCCTACAAGAAACTCGTGGAAGGTGACCCACACAGGTGTGTAAATGTTAGTTTATTTTTCAATCAACTTCGTGATCAGTCTTGTTCTTGAAACAAAGCATTAAGAAAAGAACAATTTTCACAATCGTAAACGTTCTGGACAAATTGTAACGTTACAAGACAAAACATGGCATTACATTAATTCTTTTTTTCTTCTCCATTTGTATCACAGACTAGATTCTTTGTCAGCCATGTTGTCACCTCCTCACACGAAACAAACCAAAGAGGTGTTTTGCAGAGATGCGTCTACTTCACCCATTAGTAAGTACTGCGCTTTTTTGGCGACGCCTCAGGGGCGGAGGCATTTGTGTAAGTACTGCGATCGCTTTGAAAGAATTTCAAAAATTGCACGAATGCATTCCCTAGGGAATTGGTTTTGAGGTAGCCTCCGGTCTTGTGGTCATCGGAAAAAGCAGGAAAGGCCTATGTTACCATGCATGCAAATGGCACCTTTTCAGGCATACTGTGGCTTTTTGCACACAGAATGTTAATGATTGTCTTTATTGATATTTCAAATATGTTTTCTTCTATCAAGAGAGAACAAATTTCTTGCTCAGGAGCAGCATATTCAAGCTTATAATACTTCAAATATGTTTTTAGTTTCAACTATATGATGCTGGTCGTTTTTTTATAACTTTACTGTGTGACACATGTAGTGTAACAGTGATGTTTTGTGTAAGGAATTTTATTTACTTGTGTGTTTTCTATCATGTATGTTTGTGTCAGTCTTGCTTTTTTAGTTTTTATTTTCTTTGCTTCCATGATGCTGTTGCATTCCATGCTTGTTTTTCAATTTTCTTGGCTGCAAAACATGAATGCACACCCCAAGCCTTCCACGACTAGGTTTCATGCTAGCCAGTGAATTCCTGTTGTAGTCTGCATCTCAGGGTGGACATGGCGAAGTTTACCTGTGGGTATAAAGAGAGAAAAGAGCATAAATGAATCTATGCCAACTTTGGCCAGCTTTGATTAACTTAAATTAACAAGATTTGGGGTCATAAATGTAAATATGCAAAGCATGTGAGTCGATTAATTTTACAGAATGCAATGAAGCAGACACATCTATGACACATTTTCTGGCAATAGCCTGTGTGCCAGACCCTAGCACTTAGAACAAGGAGCTTAACTCCTTGCTTGGAATAAAGAAAGTGCTTTTTTCTGAGACTCTCGATCGGGCCTCTATACTGCCCAACACGCCACAGTTTCGGAGCTGGCTTCCTTCTTCAGTTTATCTAGACGTATAAATTAGACCCCGCGCGGCTGCAAATTCTGTGTTCCAGGCGTGAGATTTCCCTGACTTTATTGACTATGGTGGCACAGGGGCCTGGCACCCAGGCTACATTGTTTTCCCAGCAATGACATCATAGTAAACATGGTACCGTGTTTCAAAACACACAGCTTTTCATGAAAGAAGTACTATAGATATGCGAACATTGCCTAACCATCGTGATTATTATATGTACAATACTGCATGAAATAAGGATGGTCAGGCACTCACCTGGTATTTTGTTCCACTTCTTAATTGTATTCTTGAGTAACTGTTGTGTTTGTCGCCATGTAGAGCTGAAAGAAACAGCGTAGAACAGGTTATTAGCGAAGTTTGTTGCATTCCAGGGTTGTGTTATTCAGCATAGTTCGACAGCGTTCAGCGTGACCACGGATGTGAAACTTGGACAATATTATGGTGGGATGTCAGCAACATGTAATGCAAAGAATACGCGGATCAATATCAAGTTGTAATTGTGTGAATAGTAAAAAAAATGACGTTGACCTAGAGATGAGTAT